AGTTACTTTGTACAGACCAAAGGTCAGTTTTATGTTATTGGATATGGTAACATGAGTGCACATGTGCTGCATCATTGTAACTTCTGTATTGTTAGCCAGGCATGTCTGAAAGGTGAATATAATAAAAATAATGAATATATATAAATGTATAATGTTATGAGACTTAAGCTATTTAGTCTAAACATTTATGTTTTTGTGTTATAAACTGTGTTCATTCCAGAATGAAAGAGGCATAATTTATATTTATTTCCTAATTCTTTATGGTAGTTACGAGATCAGTCAACTCTAATGAACCCGTACAGATTCATTACTGAAAATAACAGATAAAATATATAGTTTTTTTCTTAAGAAATGTTTGATAACTATCTGGATTTTATTAAGATTTTGCATGCAAAATTTGAAAATTTTTTGATGCATAAAAGTATTTTTAATCTTAAAATGAAAATTACTTTGCATGTTAGATAGACAACATGCAAAAAGAAAAAAAGGCACGAGAAAAACATTGCTTCAGAAACCTTAAGACTTAATATAAAAAAAATTTAGATATTTTGCATATGAAAGCATTGTAATGTTTACTGATAAAGTGCCAAATTTCGTTTACATTCGCTTACTAGTTTAAAAGTTATAGGATGAAAACTATAACAAGCACAAAATGGTTATGAGGTCGCCAGGGACTGAGTCCGTGCTGAAAAAGTTAATTGATACAAGTTCATCCTTTATTATTTTCAACAGAGCTAGAAATATCTAAGAGTTTAATGTCATCAGCAGGCTTTACGAATTGTTCCCTTATAAATATCATTAAAGTACAATAGTCTGAAACACTCCATTAGTAACAAGAGTCCACTTTGACTGAATTACAGTAATAACAACACTTTGCTTTTTCTCTCATCCAACCACTCTACAATGCATTTAACTACTCTTTTCCCACCCTACCAATATGATCTTCTTAGATAATATTTTGTGTGGCACTATATTAAAAGCTTCCTGTGACTCAAAATACATCAAGTCCAAACCCTTTCAATCATCCAAATAACAAGTAAAACCCTTGAGAAAATATTAGATTTTAAGGCAAGATTTCCCTTTGGTGAATCCATGTTGGCTTTCTTTTATGATATCATATTTCACAATGATTTTGTAAAGCTTCTTTTATTAAGCTCTCTAGAATTTTTCCCACTAAAGAATTAAGACTAACTGGCCTATAATTTCCAGGGCAACTTTTAACATTTCCTTTAAAAGTAGAATTAACATTATCAACTCACTAATTCTCAGGCACATTCCTGCTATGTATTGACCTATTAGAAATGAAAAAGAGAAGTTTGCATATCTGATCTTCAACCTCTTTTGAAACTAGTATTTGAACAGGTACCAAAATCCTACCCAAATACCTGGATGGGTAATTCCGGTGGGTATCTGGGTGCCCAAACGTTTCTGACCACTATCAACACAATAGCTTCTAATAAGCAAAAGACAAGACAATATAAACCATGATGCTACACAGTTTAAGTTTTTTTCGAGTGCAATGTTCTTTATTTTCTAAAACTGCTGATAATAAAAAGTTATGAATGTTTGGATGGAAAAGTAAAAGAAAATAGTAAATGATATAATTACATATGAAAGATCAAAACAATGTTCAGCCCGAAATTTTATGCGGCCATCGTGTACACTATAGCATAGGCCTGTAAAGTATAGTCTTCTTTATGTATTCTCACTATTCTGCATAAGGTCCAGAAACAAATTCAAACAAACATCTCTCCATTTTATTACTTTTCACCAATTAGTAATGAGCACTGATTTAGTGGCCATGAAATTAATGTCAAAGTATTGTTACGTATCTGCTTGTTTGTTAATTTCTGATAGAAATTCTTTCTGAGGAACTTCAGCGATACAAGTTCTTTCTTGATTAAACTAGTTTATTCTTTCTTGATACAAACTTTTAGTACACAGTAATTCCACAGTCAATACATTTCTCTTCACTTTAAACTTAACAACTTTTATAATACACCCTATAAATCACAATCTTATTCACAAACTTTGCTCTCTACGAGAGCAAAACACACACTAGCTCGAAACAGAATTGTAAATTACCCGAAACTCACTGTGACTACTGCTCGCTTAACTTCGCTGGCTTTTCTCGCCAGGCTTATATACTAACAAAGAGGAGTCTCCAAAATCCTCGGATTTCCCCAATAATTCGAGAAATTCAGTCACGCATGTACCAGCAGCGTTACATGACTTCCGCTGTCATAACAGAATAAAGCTTCCAACTGTTTCTTCAATTGGAAACTATTAGCTTATTGATATTGGTAACTGGTAATGAAACAAAGTAATCTTTAACAGTTCACCCTGGCTGACTGTTATTACACAATACCTGGACTGCGCAGGCAATATCTGTACATGACGATGAAAATAAGGGTTGTACGCACGTACATTTCTGTACAGGCCTTAAAGCATCTACAGCCGCTTGTTATTATAACACACACTAAGAGATTACAAGACCATTAAATGTGCCTGCAATATCAGAAAAGTAAACACAATCAATGGGTGGAGCTTAACTCAAATATTTCAACAACAAAACTTTGATAATTCCCCATTAAGGTTAGTGTGCAAGTTTTTTCTCCCTTAAATTGCAGTAAAGTGAAAGAACTCTACGGCAATGATCGCCACATTCTAGTGTCTCAAATTATGACGAGCAGCAGCTAGCTAAAGTTGAAACAAGTTAAACCAGTTATACAAAAATGTAGAAACTTTTGGAAGATCATACTTCTATTGATACAATAATTTAGAGTACTTACTTTATAAGTCACACAGTCATCAGGCTTGAAAGTTTCCTATGGGTGATAGGCCTTATTTTTGTCCTAGAATCAGCCGATAATCATTTAACAAAGAAAAATTTTAAATAGACTATTCAAAATTTTCTGTTTACTTAATTGATTTTTTGTCTCCTACATTCATTATTGTTAATGGAAGAGGTAAAAGTTAGTATGGTATAAGCAAGTTTTGAGGGTAAAATGAATGGTTGAATAACTTGATTTATAAGGTACTCTAGGATTTTTGTGCATTGTTAAACTTAAAGATCAATGACTTACTATTCAATCTCGCTGGCCCACCACTAGAATTTAATCTGAATCTCTATCACTACGATTGCTTCCACTTTAGTTTTCACACAATCTGTTGTGACATTTGTTGCTTGTTACTGATCATTACTTACTGTTTTTTCTTAAAAATAATAGTTTGTCTACAGCTCTGTTTACATTACTTTGACTTAAACTTTGCATAACATTTTTTTTTTTTAAGAGCTGGGTAACAGTCATGATAGGTGGGTACCCAGTGAAAACACTATTCAAAACCATGGGAAAACCTTGTCTAGCCATGATGTTTTCCCCAATTTTAACAAACAAAAGTACCTGTCCCCAGTGACAGAAAAAGTTTAAGTTAATCTCTCAATTTAAGTTACTTCATAGACTTTAAATTGTGTTGCACTTATACCCCCCATTGCAAAAACTAATTGTTGAGCATTTCAGTCATGTTATGAGCCACTCAACAATAATATACCGTAAATCTACATTTTTATTCTGTAAGTTGTCACATTTGGAAATGTGAATGATAGTGCAATTAAGTTCTAACAATTTAGTGTAGAATATCCTGCTTTTGAAATTATATTTGGCATCAGTATTATTTATGCTTGTTCTCCCATCATTTCAAAAGTGAATGTTGAGCTTTGTGTGCATGCACAGCTTTTTAAATGGGAGACAATGAATGCTCAGACATACACTACAGTTCGGTTCGCAATATACCACCTATGGTTTCATATCTATATGATACAGGCTAAATCCAATATTTCCCATAGAATGCTCAAGGTCAGGAGTATTGTTAATATCTTTGCTTGTATAAGCATACAATAACATTTAAAAGCTCAGCCATTTCATAGTCTTCAACAAAAAAATCTTACCATCAGCATTCCTTTAACGAGCTCAATTTCAACATTTTCGTTACCTTTAAGATATGAAAAAAAATCTGTGCTGTCAGTTTTAATATTATGAACCAGCTGTTTCTCACAAGCCCATTTGGATTTTGAAAATTTTTTTCAAACCAAGTCCCTAGTTTTCACAGTTCTGTAAGCTTTCCAAACCTACCTGTTAACTTTAACTTATGGCATTCATACTTGATTTTGACCTTTATGTCTTCATTGAGCAACTTAGGTTTGACCTTTTCATATTCCTCATTTTAGGAATATGTCTATCCTGAATTAAAAACAATTAATTTTTTGAAAAAAAAATTCCAAATCTGTGCCACATCACCTACTAACTCATTAGTCCCAAATATTTTTGAAATCTGCTTGGCTGAATTAAGGAAAATCCATTATTAAAACCAAAAAAAACTTTTATGAAGTTTAAATTTGCAGGCCTGTGTAATTATTGCATCAGTAATATTATTAACAACCATGACCTCATTATACTTCAGAAATTTTTCTTTCTTCAGACTAGTCTTTATTCATGCCTAATTTAATATATACTAGGAAAGATAGCTGCCAATACAGGGCTTACAAAGTAATGCTATAAATGAGGGCATGGACTGTCCCATTCCACCATATTGAGACACAGCACACAAACTTAATCAGATGCAATGGCACACATACTCAGTGCAGCATTGAATGCCACTTTCATAATTTTGGTAATTATCTCCTCACTTAGTTGAGCCTCCGTTCACATCAGCATTAAGGCAGAAAAACTGAAATGACTATCAAACTTGAATCTTACATCTGATAAATCTGATTGCTCATCCATTTAAACTCAATCTTTGGAGGGTACACTGTAGTTTCTCTGTCAAATTTCGTGAAACTGGTTCAGTCAGTTTCTCACAAGAAACAAGATGTGCTCCAAGATAGACATCCATTTTATACACACACACACACACACACACAATGATAGATAGATAGATGAACTTGTATCCCATGAAAGAATAACTTAAAAATAAATGAAAATAAAAATATATCAACTTACTTCATCAATATTTCTTAGCCATTTTGCTATATTGTCAAAGCTTTTTGGATTTGTGATATCATATACTAACATAATGCCCATAGCTCCTCTATAATATGATGTGGTGATGGTGTGGAACCTTTCTTGACCTGCAGTATCCCTGGAATAATCATTTTTGTTATTAGGTTAAACACAGAAAAAAGGATCCCAAACTCTTCACAGTTTAGTTAATTATGAAAAACTTCTGCAGATCAACTATATAGCTCAGAAGTAAAAACTTATAAATTAATGAAGCTAACCTTGTGTAACAAATCATCTAGAAATATTTGACATCATAAACCAATACATAAGAAAACTAAAACCTATAATGATTATTATACCCTGAATAATCAGCTGGGTACCCTTACTATAAGTGATATTTTTTGTCTGTATTCCAGTATTATCTCACAAGGTCCAGCAAGAATAAGAGGATTAGGTTAGTCTTAAGTTCATAAAATAAGCCAGCAATGCAAAATAACCTTCATAGGTGTAAACATTATTTAAAATATACTTATATTTCAAATCATTTCAAACATTATTTCATGAAACAGAAAGAAAAATGAAGATGGTCATTATGTGTAAAACACCAGTCATCAGTACTTAAGGTCTACACACCTTACCAGTACACGAAACTGAATGTTCTTTCAAGTATTCATGTATCAGTAGTAGTACATATCCAACAAAACAGTTGGAAATTACAGAAAAAAGATCAAAATCATAAATAAAAGCACACTATCCACCTATCCAGAGAACCACAATGATGTTGTATAACTTATTTTCTATAATTTCATAACACCTGTATAAGGAAGTCTCAATATAATGATCCCTAAAAATTTTAATTTAATTAGTTTGATAACAAAGATAAATTACTTCCAAAACATATTACTTCTGAGTAATATATATAGTTAGCAAAACATATTACTTCTGAGTAATATATATATAGTCAGCAAAACATTACTTCTGAGTAATATATAGTCAGCAAAACATATTACTTCTGAGTAATATATAGTCAGCAAAACATATTACTTCTGAGTAATATATAGTCAGCAAAACATATTACTTCTGAGTAATATATAGTCAGCAAAACATATTACTTCTAACAATATAAAGTCAGCAAAACATTACTTCTGAGTAATATATAGTCAGCAAAACATTACTTCTGAGTAATATATAGTCAGCAAAACATATTACTTGAGTAATATATAGTCAGCAAAACATACTACTTCTGAGTAATATATAGTCAGCAAAACATATTACTTGAGTAATATATAGTCAGAACAAAAACTATTTAACTTACGTAAGAAGTTAAATTAAATAGTAACAGACAAAAACTAATAAGTTAACTT